GGATGAAAGGGTAGAAAATATTAAAAGTGTTTACTATGTTATAGCAAATAGTGTATTTTAATCATACATAAATATATATATATATATATATATGGTGCATTATGTACATTGGTGTATTTTATTTTTGTTGTAGTTATTATGTTACTTACTTCATTGTCACATGTTTGTGATATAATTGTATTTTTGAAGTTTATGTCCCTCTATTTTTTATGATTTTTGTATGGTAATATTTAGGAAACTTTGAAAATGGCATTAGCCACATGGGGATTTGGAGCAGCAGCTGCAATTGCAGGAGTTGCTGTATTTTGTAACCTTCCTGCACATTGGTTACTTCCAGCAGAAAAAGTAACTTACCAGTTTCTTGCTAATGCTCATTTGAAGAGACAAGATGAACCAGGAGAAGAATTTAAGGTAAATAGAAGACTATGTGAACCATTGTTTTCACACTTAATATTTTGCAAAGACTTATATTTATCAAAGCAATAACAAAAAAATTATTATTTGATTGTAAATTATAATATCCAGCTGAATAACAGAAATATTAAAGCCATTCAAAGCATCGTTGAAACACTTTTTAAAGCAACCGTGTAACTTTATTGTGAAATTGTGGCTGAGCTTTCTGAGTTTTAGAGATAGGCAGTTAGTGGTATTTGATAATTGAAGGCCCCATTAATCAATTACGTTTACTTAATTGATTATTACAGTGTTCCTCAAACCATGGTAGATAAATAGAAAAGAAAAAAAAAACATTGGTAGGAGGTGCTCAGTCAGTTGCATTTCATTTAGAAATGAATAAAAACCCTATAACTCAAGTGCTTTCAAAAGATGGACTGGTCTTCTTCAGGGGCAAACTGGGAATGATGGTGTAATCGAATGAGTGATATGTATAAAAAGAATTTAGTGATGTCATGAAGGTCATCCAGTTTTCCAGGAAATGTTTAGTCTATTTCTCTGTGTACTGTTGTAAGTATCTCATTTCCGATACAATGTAGCCAATGGCGAGAGTGTATGTGAAAAGGTATTATTGATATTTTACTTTAGATACCATAAATAAGTGTTTTAATAATGTATTATTAAAAATTGCTCTTGTTTTCTTTGTAAAAACACCCATGAATCTTGATACTCATTAATTTGGAATTATGAACTGAGAATTTCAAAGTTCTGTTTTTATACCTTAATTAAATTATATTTCCATTTGTTGACACAAGCATTTAGACATGCATTACCTAAATTTTGAAAATACATTCAGACAGTACATATTGTTTTTCTGTAAATTGTTAATAATAATTTCATACACACAAGTTCTTCCACATTGTTTCAAGTGTTATTTAATTGTTTTATTGAAAAATAGTTTGGCTAAAAATGTTTGTGTTCAGATAAACCTAACAATCATGAAACATGACCATATTTCAGGGGGGATGGATTATTGTAAGAGGAATCAAATTAAAATACTTTACTTACCAGTACTTAGTAAACATTTAACTCCTCATTTTAATGTTTTTTACACTTAAATTGTCAATGCATATTGGAAAGGATAATTACTTTAACAATGCAAGAATCTTTAACTTCTTATACGAATATATTAGTGGTGCTTATTAAAAAGGTTTAACAGATGTATTACCCATTTCATCCTTTTACTTGTTAACTAAATATATAATCAATAAATTCCCATTTATTTAAATTCAGTATTTACCAATTGTAGCAATACACCCATTTAGCAGTAACATATCTTTGTTCTTAAAATGTTTTAATATTGAGTCATTATTTTCATTTTGAAAATTTATTACTTAAAAACATATTTGATAATAATTTAACTTTATGTAGGCTTCACAACTTTGGGCAAATAATGGTGCTGTTATAATGGCTGTTCGACGACCAGGATGATCTTTGTGCAGGGAGGTAAGAAACAGAAACAATAAACACAGTAAATTATTAAAATATGTTTGCTATGACTTTCATAATATTAGTGTAATTCATTAAATTATAAATCTGATAAAATCATGTTAATATACAAAAGTTGGTCAGAATTTTATGTGTAGGAAACTAATAAAATCTAATTGAATATGAAGTGTTTACTACAATGCTGTACAATGGTGTGTATCATTTTGATTGAACTATACTAGCTCTATCATTGAATGAAATATTATTGAAAAAATCATGTGTTTGTTATCAAATGTCAAATTTCAAAACGTTTGTCTAGTTCAATTGTATTAACAATTTCAACTTACACTTGTTCTTATAATTTTTATCTTCAACTTGCATAAGGTATTTCAAAAAGAAACAAGTATTTTCTCATTAAAATTCACATCGGCATTTATTTATAAAAGTGCAAGTAATTTTCAAGATATTATGAAAGCCCTGTTATTATTGGTTGAGTTTGGATATTTACTTCCCCATTGAAGCCAAATTCCTGGGATATTTACTTATAAAAGTGCAAGTACTTCTTTTTAAATATAATATAATCCATTGTTGGTCAAGCTTGATTTTGCAAAATTTATTTATTTAAGTTAGCTATGAAATGTGAGTTTAGGGTATACTATGGGGTGGGGGTGGTAGTACTTGCACTGTCATTTTTGACAGACTATACGCTAGTTATACAGAAAGAACAGTTTGTGTGACAGATGGATTTATTGGAGGGAGTTGCATTAATGTATGACCAACATGCTGCATTCATGGATCACAACCTTTCTGTCTTCAGTACTGAAGAACATATCTATTTCTTGCCCATAGTCATATGTTTACTGTCATAGATATGTCTGCTTTTTCACCTTTTCTCCTCCTTTTTCTTGCGAGGTAAACAGTGACCTATGAGGCATTGATAATTTTTCATCACTCTGAGGGAGACTGTCTGTAGTCATTACCACCTAACTTGTATGCCCTGGTGGAAACTGAAAAAAGTTCAACTGGCCCTCATTCACTACTCTTTGAAATCTACTGTTAAAAACTGCATAAAGGCAGTAACTGATTGTATTTTCTAGGCAGCTGTCTAGACCATCCCTAAAACTTCTACTTGTTTTCCATGGTATTTTCATCTAAGGTGAATCGCAAGCTCCATCTGGAAGGTATGTAAATTTCCATAGTGACTGAAGCAAATTTCTTTGGACTTTCCTTTGACTATAAGCTGACTCTTATTCTACACATACAAAAAGCAGATTAAAATCAAGGGTACAAAGGTACTGAATATCATCCACATTCTCTTTTGCCTATTTGAGTAACAAGAAGGTATTCTTTACTCAAGATTTGTTGTGCCCTCATTCAGTGTAGATTGGAGTATGGATTTCTGATCTACACTTTGGTCAGAAACTGCATTGAGGATGTTTGACCCTGTGCTTCATCAGAGACTTTCCAATCTTCTCCAGTCCAGAGTTTGTGTGTAGAATACTATGAACCTACACTTCACCTCATATTTTTGCAACTTTCTTTGCAGTATACTGGAAAGCTCTGATCACAACCATGGCATCCCACTCAGTAGTGTGTCTTCATTATTTGTGTTTCTTTTTGCATATAGGTGGTCTGCTGTTCCAGTTTTTCACCTTCCTATTCTTTTATCCATTAGGTGTTGATTGAGATGGGTCTGACAGAGGGTGATATTGCTGAATATGATGTTCAGCCCATTTCACCATAGTTTATTACCACTCCTCACTGCATATTTTCATGAGTCACGTGAAGAAGTTGGATATTCATAATTGGAAGACACAATTTTCCTTTAACAAGCATATGTTGAACATCTTCCCATTCACATATTTATGGATGGCTTGAAATTAAATGAGTTTGCTGAGCTGTGTGATTGTTCATAGGATCCCCTCTACAAATTCTGTGTTCACTGTTGATTTGTATGCTGTCTCACTTGTTCTAGATTACATAGAATCTAAGTGGTGCACTAGTTCCATCTATACTGACTTGCTTAGCTCTTTGAAGAGCTTGAGTTAGTTCTTATCTGATTCTCTTAGTTTTTTCTATTCCTAGTCATGTCAGGATCTGAGAGAATGGACTTCCTGACACCATGGATAAATAGATCTCCAGTGGTGATATTTTAGTCTTGCCTATTCCATATTTGGATTTCAAGCTAGTCATCAAGGCAAGACTACATGCCAATTGGCAGTTGACTTGGGATGAACAACATGTGAAAAACCTGTTCTATGTAAAACATACTATCAACAGGTAGCTGTCCAGTTTGTAGTTTGCATGGGATTTGGAGGGAGAAATTTATCCTCATAAGGCTCCACACTGACTATAGTTGTATTGTTCATTCTGTGCACAGTGTGACTTTCAGGTTCACAAATGCCTACATACTACTTTCTTGTTACTACAATATTGTGCAGTTGTACCATTTTACATACATCTTTAGTTATGGTATCCCTTTGACATGGGTAATTATGACACTGTTCAGGTTGACTATGTTTGTGGGCATCTGCAGGGTGGTCAAGGGGCGGCACTCTCCCCTCTTTGGAAAATAAGAAACATAATTATTTTTTTATTCATTCACCATATGTATATGAACTTACAAGTTTTTTATTCACTTCAGAATTTCACAACACTTATTACACCTAATTCTCAATTCTGATAAAAGTTGCCAGATTTCTCAGCAGCTTTACTTAAAATCTCTAGATATGTATTCTGTAGCTAAACATTAAAATACATCGCTACCACTCTGAACTCTTAGATATTGGACATAGCAATTCTCATATAGGTCAGTAAAGAGACTAACATGGTCTTGCTGACATCCAATGAGCCTTGACACAGTATAATCGGGGTCAACCTGTTACCACGTGCCAGTAATACCAGCAGAAGGTTATCAAAGAGAGTGATGCAGACATCCCAGTATGATTGGAATCACCAAAATATACAATTATGGAGTATATATAGCTGCATGTGTGCAGTATGGCTTAAAGTAACCTTACAAATATTAAACTCATTAAATCTGACTATGGGAGTTTCCTTATTCTCTTAAGTGTAATGACAAAACTTTGAAGGCGGGTCCATCATCTCTTGGTTTTTACTTTGCTTGCTCCTGGAAAAATCTCTACGGATGCGCATGTATACAAGCAAGGCTTAATTCATAGAACAGTTTCTTTTCAAAACTGCGTGCTTACTCAACTATCTGGTTAGACATTCTAGAAAGTGTTTTTTTGTTTTTTTTTCAGATCTTACAACAGTTACATTTTGAATAATTTCAGATATATGAAGATTTAAATTTGCATTAATACATTAGTTTCAGGCCTAATTCATTTTAAAACAATACAATTCTTGAAAATCCCTAAGAGAATAAATTAAGAATGTTGTGTTTAAAAAAAATTTTGCCTAATATTAATGTCTTACGACAAATGCACAATAAGTAATTAGTGAGCGAATGCACTTTTAGCCTAACATTTAGGTATTTTTTATTACACTAGATATTTTTCTAAAAGCAAGGCTTAAGTCATTGAACAATTTCTTTTCAAAACTGCCTGCTTACTCAGCTGTCTGTGTAAGTGTTTTGCTTACCTTTTTTTCTTCATACCAATTTACATTTGCGATAATACATTAGTTTTAGACCTAATTAATTTTAAAACAATACAGTTCTTGAAAATCCCTAAGAGAATAGAATAAGAATGTCATGTTTAAAAATGTGTTAGGCCTAAATCTAATGTCTTACGATAAATGTAATTGTAAAAAAATATATATATAGAAGTTCTTACACATGAATACAAATAAAACACTACTGCCCCCAAGATTTATAAGAGAATAAAACACAAGAGTTCAAGATGTATAGTGTTTTGTAACATGTGAACATTATATAGATAAGTCCATTGGTAATTATTGACTGTCCTATGCACATCAAGTAATTAGTGAGCTGATGCACTTTTAGCCTAACATTTAGGTATTTTTATTACACTATATATTTCTCTACAAGCAAGGCTTAAGTCATTGAACAGTTTCGTTTCAAAACTGCCTGCTTACTCAACTGTCTGTGTAGATGTTTTGCATATATTTTTATTCAAACCATACAACAGTTACAATTTGAATAATTACAGATATATGTGTCGATTTACATTTGCGATAATACATTAGTTTTTAGGCCTAATTCATTTTAAAACAATACAGTTCTTGAATATCCCTAAGAGAATAAATTAATAATGTGGTGTTTAAAAAGGTATTTGGCCTAATATTAATGTCATACGACAAATGTAGTTGTAAAGATATATATATAACTTTTTACCTGTGAATAGAAGTAAAACACTACAG